TAGGCGCCTAGTCCGACGCCTAGAAGCGCCTAACGTTTAATGTAACATTGATAGTGGATGAATATCTGGCTCGTATATCAAGCAACAGCTACCGTTATTTTTGTTGGGTCTTCTGCTGAAATTTTATGAAACCCTAACGGCCTATCAAATTGGAAAGTTACTTATTAGATTATAGTAATCAGGTTCTCTATATAACTTTTTTGTATTACTTAGGACCGTGTTAGAAAGTATAACTTCTATGTAATCTATAATAGCTATCATCTCTATATATCTATATATCTGGGAGGTATTTATAGGGGGCCCTTTTGTACATTTGCCTTGGTGTGTGTACGTCACATTCTAACCATATCTGTGTAACATGGATCATAAGCTAAGTGATATACCCACATGCACAGACACTCATACACAACATACAATTTGAATTTCATATATCTGCAATGCATAAACATTTGCGTGATTATCTTAATTGCACAAAGTTTGATACACACAGGGAGATAAAGAGAACAGTTATATAGGGAATTTAACCACAGTATTAAGTTTCCAAGTTGCAGCTCTGTATTCTTTATAACTAACTTTCAATCAACTGTTGAGGGACTAACGGTCGGTTTGGATACAAAGGAGGGGGGAGAGATTGACTTAAACCTAAGGGGAGGGAATGGAAAGGAAAAGGGTGGAATGTATTCGTTTGTGTTTGGATAGACAATGAGGGGATGAGAGGATACATAATATGTGTTCGTGTAGAGTAGGGGATGGGACGGGAAGGGAAGCTACTTGACCAGTATGTATTTATAATAAAATAAGAAAGAACGCTTTTTTGTTTTCTCATATAGGGCAATATTGGAATTTCAAAAAAAATTCCACTTAAAACCCCTCGCCTCCCCTCCCAATCCATCCACTTTTGGAGGGTTGAGGAAGTGGCTGAATTTTGTAATTTTCACCCCTCCCCTCCCCTCCCCTCCCCTTGCTAACTAAAAAGTGTAAACAAACACAATGTTAGGAGAGTTAGCATTGTAAACCTCCCCCTCCCTCCTGAAAAACTCTATCCAAACTCAGTGTAAGTCACTAACTTCATTCAATATGAATGACACATTGTTGAGGTGAGACTTTTAACACAGCCGAACAACTTTATATTTTGATAAATTGCCAAAATAACAAGCAGCTACTGATAAATCTTTAAGATAGTATTCAATATCAGTCATCTTGAACACGAGAATCTGCAGCATACTCGTGTCATATCATATATCAACTTTGTACATATGGAGCCTAAACATATCACACATGTTTATCCATTTTGATGAAGGAAATGCATTGCATGCTCATAAAAGTTGCCACAACTACATACAATGAACCACATATGGGTTATGTAGACATCAAAACACTCTCCAAAAAGAAATCATCTCCATGAACAGACAACGCCTTCACTCTGATCTCATCGCATGGTTAGTCCTGCAGTTAAGTTGTTCTTATAAAAATAAAATAAAAATAAAAATAAAAAAGAAATTCCTATTCTTCAACAACTTAATTTCTCTATGAATTTATCCAACTTCCGCCCCAGATTAGTTGCAATAAAGAACTCACTGAAGATTGCCTTACCTTTTTTACTATTCTTTGTACTCAATCACTGACCAATAACCACACTAGATATACTGATATGACCCAGTTCAAGGTGCTATCAGGACTAAGGATAGAGCAAATGAAATGAAATAAAGAGGAAAAAAAGATTCATGACATTTCTAATAATGACACATAAAGGAATCTGACAGATGGATGAAAAAGTTTCTCATCCGACCAGCACAGCCAAAATATTAAAAGCAGATGAATCTCAGGAACAACCTTTATGTTGATCCAGTAGAGTTAGGAACAAGAAACCAAAGCCGGAACAAGAGTGGAAGCAGAAGGAATCTCGTGATTGCTAATGCAGGGGGCCATACTTCTAAAATTACATTTATCGATTCAAATGTCATTCTTAAGTTCTAAAACTTGAATATTTCTAACCCATCCAATAATGTTTTTAACCTGTAAAATAGAAATGAACTGTAGGAATGTTCACTTCATCCTGAGAAACTTTTATTCAAAACCAAATATGTAACTCTTGACCTCCATATATGACTCTCTTGAATGATGCATCTAAACAATACATGGGGGGCATGAAAATGATTCTATGTTATGCTTAAACCAATACTGTATAGATGACTATAAATTTGTAATGAGGTTCACATGGACACCTAACGCATACCAATAAACCTAATCTCTTAAGCCCTTCTCAATCAATACATGGACTAAGTTTAAATGTTTGCAAAGTTTAAATGTTGCATCTACTAGATAACCCAATTATAAATATATTACAAATTTACAAGAATGCCATAACCATTGAGTGCAGAAAAACATTGCTAATCAACATCAACTATTAGAACTTTATCTGAACTATCAACATCAACGTGAACATGAGATATATTGCAAGCTCAATAAGCTGATTAGCAAATAAGTCTGTACGGTTACTCATAGGTATACCTTCGGCCATAACTTGGCTGATTATTTCATCTTTTTCTTTCAAAAGAGCCGTTGCATCACTTTTCTTGCTTTGTTCTCTCCGTAATGTATCCCTTTCCCTCGTGAGAGCATAAACCTATAGCAAGAATCATCTCAACAATCATAAATTGATTGCAGGAAAAGAACTGAGAAAACTAACAAGAGTATCAACAAAAATGAGGTGCGCTTGCATACAAAACTTTCATAAAAAACGTCAGAAGTTTCTACAGCAAAGTAATTAAATTTCTGGAGAAATACCGCATTAAACTAGTATTCCCTGTACATAACATCTACAAACTATACAAGATAAATACTTTTATAGTTCTATAGTTCGGAGCACCTTAGCCCTTCAAGTTCATAGAGGTCTAGGCAAGACATCATGTCTACAGTTAAAAGCTTTTAGGACTTCCCGCTCACTGCCCACACATGGAAATCGTTGAGACTAATGCTAGTTCAAAGTGGCTGAAAATTGTTTAAAAGTGATGGGACAAAGAAGACTTTGAATGCTTTTCTGCAACTGGTGGTCCCAATATTTTGAATAGTTAATAACAATTTATTGATGTTTGCATCAATTAAGAAAGATAAGTAATCTTTTCTCAAAAATTTTGAGGCAACGGTTACATGCTTCAAGTAAGAAAGTTAGGGAACCAATTTCTCTTTTTCAAGACAACTTGGTAAATATTGACAACTGAATCAGGCTCCAAGTAAGAGATTAGTAGTACTGTAGTAGATCGATTTTTAAATCCTTTCGGTGAAACCAAAAAACAAAGCATATGGCTAGCTGCCCTATACCGGAAGTGATAATCAGAGGGAGTGATAATCAAACATAACAAGATGAACAACACAGTGAACAAAAGGCAAACAAAGCAGTAAGCAGGGATGTAAGCAGAATAACTAATCTAAAGATAATACCTTTCTTTCAAGAGCTCCCACTCTTTGGTGGTATTCTTCTCGAAGTGCATCGATTTCTGCCTCTGAAGATTTTCTCTGCAGCATAAATATTGAAATTAGATTACTTTATTACATCATTAGATTACTTTATTACAAATACAAAAATATTTTGAACTTAGCCCCCATAAGATGAATAAAGTCACTATAAATGTTATCAACGGCGTGCGCCTCATGCTCCTTGCGATGCGAGGTGGTGATAAAGCGCCCCACATCTGATGCGGTAGCGTCTTTTTGCGCCTCGCAAGTGCCCTGCATGAGGGCACTTTGTTGTGCTTGCAAGACGGCCTCATATATTTTTGTTCTTTAACATTTCAATTGGGTTTTTATCAATATTCAAAAAAAGTGAAAGCAAAAGGCGAAACGTTAGACCCTTTAATGAAGCGAAGCGTAAGCTTCAAAGCTTGAGGCATAAGCCTTATGGGTTTAAGTATTTTAATTTTAAAATTTGTAAGATTATGAACATATAATATATAGGGATATAATAATTTACTAATAGATACATTCATGTCCTGATTAGAAAAAGAATTAAAAATGTGAACTATAGACAGAAATAGTAATAACCTAAGCTTCACGCATAACCTATATATCTTATATACACTCACATGATTGAAGATATATAGGGGCATGTTAATGTTAGTCTAAAATTCTATTATATCATCCTATCTTGTCTAAAGTGTGTGCTTCAAAAGAAAAGTGTTATGAAGTGTGAAGCACACACTTTAGTTATGCTTTAAGTGATGAGGTGTTATTTTTAAGGGACAAATAGCTTCTCTATTGAGTTTTGAAGAGTTCTCTCTTCAAAAAGTTCCAAAGCGAGTTTAATTTCAAACGTTAGTTTTTATAACCAACAATGCATATCCCAAAAAGAAAATAAAAGCCATTTGAACATTTTACTAGCCCAATTGTAGATCCTAACTCTTTCTCATCTAGTATGTGATTTTGCTTGGATATTAGTCTTGATTTGACTTCTGATTTGGAAAAATATGAACTAGACTACTATGTTGAGTGTGTTAGGATTATGAATTAAGACCTTATTTTGTTATTTGGTAGTAGATATTATTTTTCTTTACATATTTTTTATATAAAAATTAATAAACATGCTCTTTCATACTTGATTATCTATGTTGAAAAAACGTGTGTGGTGCACCTCACTTCACTCAGGCGCACTCATTGCATTGTGACTTGTGCATATGCACATAAAGGGACTTTGTGCTCCGCTTTGCGCATCGCATATCAGTAACACTGGTCACTATAATACCAACCAAGTGACACATATCTGTGCTTTGCGAATGCAAAATTAGATTAAACACGTAGGGCATGAGAGCATTTCTATCTGTCATCTTAAGGTTCTAACTTCTATCATTAGGCCTATGCTAAAAAATGATAGAATATACCACATCCTATTTATGCTCAATAACTACACATAGATCACCCTACAGTTATTGATAACGGATTGGCTGGTAGCCTGCTACAGCTTCTATTCTTAGATGTAGTTAAGGTAGAATTGGATTTGTTTATGTCAAGGTCATATGGTGTCACGTCCCAAACTGCAGCTGAAGCTAACCATTAGATGCTCTTTGCTCTTTTTGTCAGGCTAAGAGGTTTAATAAAAACCTTTATAGAATTTGCTTACCTATTGTTTATGCCTTGTGAAAAGGGTGAACTTTGACATGGAAACTATGGAATATTCAACAAAAACTCTGCAACCTTATGCAAATCTTGCTGCTAAATTTGTCGTAGTCATAGAGACCATGACAAACCAGTAGATGCATAAATAGATCTACTCACATCCAGAACTCATCCAGACTCTACTTTCAGAATCAAGTTGGTATGCCACAAGTAAGAGCTCAAGGATCTTATTGTAATTTGGTTTACTACTTCCCTCCATTCATTCCTTCCTCTCTTTCAGCAGCGGCAACCCC